GGAGGACAGTGAGGCAGGTGAGTGCACCTGGGTGGGGCGGGCAGGGAGGCGGAGGGGGCATCGTGAAGTCCGCTGGGAGCCCTGGCCGGTGTGGGTCAGTGGACAGAGCGTCGGCCTGCAGACCGAAGGGTCCCGGGTTCGATTCCAGTCAAGGCCACGTACTTGGTTGCAGGCTCCTCCCCAGCCTGGGCCCTGGTCGGGGCTTATGCAGGAGGCAACCCATCGATGTGTTTCTCCCACATCGATGTTCCTCTGTGTCTCCCTCTCTCTTCCACTCTCCCTAAAAATCAAAGTGAAAATATGCTCAAGTGAGGATTAACCAAAAAAAAAAAAGAAAGGAAGCCCGCTAGGGGAGGCTGCAGGTACTGGCCCCAAAGGGCACAGCCCAGCCCAGAGGCGCCGGGGAGGCAGGGGCACGGGGGGGGGTGCAGAAAGGGCCAGTGTCAGGTGACCCCTGCCCCCTCCCCCCCTTGGTGGCTTTGTGACCTAGGACGAGATCAGGGGTACTCCGCACGGTTCCCCCCCCAGCCAGCCGGGAGGCGGGATGTGAGGAGCAGACAGACAAGAGTGGCGTCTGCCACGGGTCTTCCTGTGGAGCAGAACCCGAGAACGCCAGCAGGAGACGCCCTACTGCGCTCCAGGCAGGAGCAGAGCGAGCATGGGAACGGGGGACGCACCCCTGAGCCCCAGCCCTGCAGGCCACCTCTCTGAGCCTCAGTCTCCACGCTCCAGCCATGGAGGTGGCTGCGGCCAGGCCCAGGCCCACTCTGCTGCCTCGGGGCCCTGGGAGATCAAAGACGCTCCCGACAAAACCAGCCTCCTCGGGGGCCTGTTTCTCTGATCGCCTCCCAAGCAGGCCGGCAGGTGAGGCGCCCCCGGCCAGCCCGCCCCCGGGCACTGGGCCTCCCAGGACAGGAGAGGACGGGGAGGCCCGGCTCCTTCCCGCACTGCCGCCGACTTCCCTCCCATCCTGCCTGAATCTCTTTTTCCTTTTCTTATTTTATGGCTCAGGGCACCTGGGACCGGGCACAGGGCGAAGCTCTCCGATCCGAGGCTGCGGGGGTTTCCACCTGGAACCTCCTGGCCAGGGTTGCCCCGTCCCCACGGCCCCCTCTTCCCTGGAAGAGGACAGAGGACGGGAAAGGGCCAGGCAGAAGGGCAGCCTCTCCCCCCACCATGTCACTGCTGGCCCGACGGTAGTCGAGCCCCTGAACTAGCCCGCTCCCGGCACCACCGACACCCCTCTGGCCGCTGAGGGACCTTCAACCGCCCGGGAGCCGCAGAGGAAGCCAGGGCCCAGCCCGGGGAGCAGGCACGTCCGCGTCCA